ATCCGGTGTCCCGGGTTCAAGTCCTCCACCCTGCCACTCACTGGATTTGTTCTCGGTTGCCCATGGTTCAACTCCTTGGCTGCGCTCTGTTGACAGCCCACCCGTCTGCCTCCTGCCAGTGGGGATTTCTAAGCACTAAGTTAGTTTACATTGTAGCTGAAAAGCCCCTTAGGGGGAGCTTCAATTTACGTATTTAATTTAATTTTAATTTTAAAAGAAGCTTTGCGGCAACTTTCTGCTGACACCTCTTTTTATCAAAAGGTAGACAGAGATCTCACTTCAATTAATCAAAACACCGTCAAAAATACTATTAACGAACTCATAGCTGAACAAGAATTCTCAGCCACTGCAAAAAATCTCATTATAACCACTCCTAGAACTTCATGTATTTATTTTTTACCAAAAATTTACAAACCTAACAACCAGGGTCGGCCGAGCCATTGTCTCGGCTTGCAGTTACCCTACCGAACTTATTTCCAGCTATTTAGACAAAATTATAGCTCCCATCGTCAAAACTTTACAATCATACATTAAAGACAGCCAACACGTTCTTCAAATTTTTCGCGACTTAAATTTCCTTGGCGAAAACAAACTTCTTTTCACTATGGACATTACATCCCTTTCAGCGCTCTAACCAATCGACCTAACTGCCTTCTGGTTAGCTCAATTGGTTAGAGGGGTGGATTGTTGTGCGTTAGGTCGAGGTCGATGGTTCGAGCCTCGGCCGGACTAACACTCAGGGTCTTAAAATAACTGAGGAAAAATGCACCACCTTTCTATAATATCAAGAAATGGATAGACATTCTAGTCTTCTCGGATAAGGACGAATAAACCGTAATAAACTATTAATTAGTTACTTTTGTTAGGCACGGGACGTTAAAGAACCCACTCGCGAGATCACTGTGATGTGGTCTGACCTGTTTACTGGGAATTGGGGGGAGGGGGCATCTTCAAATAAGTTTCCTTCGATTGTTTGTAAACTGCTCACGCAGTCCAGTCGAAGTCCCCCGAAAAGTGTTGTGATGCGCATTTGATCATATTCACATGTTAATTTGCGCAATATAAATATTAAATTATTATTATTATCTCTTATACCGTCATTCCTGATGCCGAAGGTCTTCTGGCACTCAAACATTTTTTTGATCAACCTAAATCTGACACACTACTTCGCTTAACTGAACTAGTGCTCACAATCCTTGTTTTTCATTCGGGGACAACTTTTTCAAACAAACTTTTGGCGTAGCCATGGGTTCCAAAATGGGACCCAGCTATGCCAATCTTTTTGTAGGCTTTGTCGAACACCAAATTTCAGCCAATACAATGGCCCCAAACCTGAACTCTACGGTCGCTACATTGACGACTGTATCGGCGCTACCTCCTCTACTAGAGAGGAACTAACTTAATTCATATCCGCAGTCAATTCCTTTCACCCGGCTCTCAAATATACCTGGGAAATTTCCGACAATTCTTTATCCTTTTTAGACATCAAAGTTTCAATTGAAGGCAACGGTGTATTACAAACCTACAGATTCACATAGTTACTTGTTGTATTCATCTTCGCATCCATCCTCCATCCACTCTGACGAAGGGCTAACGCTCGAAATGTCAGCTTTTTAACTCTTTACGGTGGCCAATTTACAATTTCAACTTAGTTGATATTAACAAATTACCCTGTTACCCCGGGTAAGAGGATATTTGTAAATATCCATTGAAAACAGTGAAGACGGACGGTATCTACGATCTAGTCAAGTAGATGAGTTTACCTGGGGTACCTCAGTATTTTTGAAGAGTTGGTGTTAGAAGACTATGGGGAGGACCCGTTGAGAGAGATTTGACTAGGTTCCAGGTTGACCGCGCATTAACTGTCTCTCAGCTGCACAAGAAGTTCTTTCCACGCATTAGAAGAATTCCGAACGGCCGTTAATTTGAAATTCTCGCTGGATTGGTTGCTCGACAAACCGACTTTTGTGGGATTTTTTTCGGTGAACTTAAAGGGCAACTATTTGGCTTTCGTGCTGCCGAGTTTTGATTCGAGGGAAAGTATTTAAGTGTTGTTTTCGAGCGATTTTGGCGAGCATGTGTCAACAGAAGTTTCCGACCTTCCCGTATTTTATGCACGGTAATTTAGAGCGCCAAGCCAAAACACATCAAAACGGCCTCAAATCGCGAGTACAACAACACAGACTACTCTCTACGAATCTAAGACTTTATTTCTTTGATTATTTCAAACAACTTTACATTTACGGAGCTCAAAAGCAAGTCCAACTAAACCACTATACAAACTCTAATTATTCACTGTGAAAGAGCCTGTGACAGAGCTTGGGCCACCTGTGTTTAAACGATAGACGATATGTAAGCTGGAATCTTTCAAGAATTTTTGTATAATTTACTGGTACTGAAACTTTGCTAATCCCGTGAAGTTGTCTCGTCGCACGGGCCACTCAGGTATGTCGAGCAACTGGCGCTTACATCTTTCTGTGCGCGCCAAAATCTAATCTCCTTCGGCTAGTTGTTTAGGTAAGGTTCAGTGTGTTTTTTTACGACAATGAATTATCTGGGTGAAAATGTTTCAGATCTTTGTCGAGTATGCTGTTCTGTTTTTATCACCATTAAGAGAAAAAAAAAAACTTAATGGCGAGTTCATGAAAATATTTGAAGAAGTTTTCAATCAAAAGGTTTTACCAAACGATGGTCTTCCGCGTGCAGTTTGGGACACTTGTCGCTTTAGAATTGAAACATCCTGGAAACGTAATTTTAACAAAGAGGCATCGATAAAAATTTCCCGTGGGCAGAGTACCCAAACAAGAAAATCGAATTGTTGCTGTTCCCAGTTTCTACTAGAGGAACATTTGTGAAGGTATGCACAAATGCAATACAACCTATGTTGAAAAAAAAAAAAAAAAAGGAAAAGCTAAGCGTGGAAACTTTTGTTTATTAGATGTGGGTAGATGACCCTGTGCTAAGCTGACAATTACCGTGTAAAGCAAACCCACCCTTTCCATTCAATAATTCATGGTCTTTTGGTTTTGTTTTCCCCAAAGAAAGCAGCATCGATTCCCAATGATCTAAGGTATTTAACTTGGTCTTCAACAATCGACAAAAGAGGTGAAATGACAATGACCAAGGGACTAGAAGAGAATTCATGGCCTTTTGAGCTCTAGAATTTGAACAATCTAGGCCGCAGTTGAAAGATTAAACTCTTTCCAAACCCCATCGGCAACTGTCCGATGACATGTCTCCTTCCCACGATTTTCTCGACAATACGTTTTTGTTCAGATTTTAATTCGCTAACACAGCTAAGCTTACTCTAAGCGATTGCTGGAGGTCGTCCACGAACTTAACGTTCTCTGCAACCTTGGAACATATTGTGAAAGACTTTGCTACGAAGCGAAGGTTAGATTTTTGCGCGAACAGAAAGCTACGTAAGCGTAAGCGCCAGTTGCTCAACATACCTGCGTGGCCCGTGCGACAAAATAACTTCACGGGAATGGCAAAGTTTCAGTAACAACAAATTATACAAAAGCTCAGGAAAAATTTCAGCTTTCATCTCGTTTAACGTTTAAAGCGACATATTAACGCCTGCAACCATTATGTTTTATACGAACCTCGCAAACTTTCAAACACGTTCTCTTGTGATACCTGCGAGAGTATTCGGTATAATTTCCGGTAAGATTTTGCGGACAATCTGATCGATTTCTCTTACATTGTGTGCTCGGTGAGACTGAAACTTTTCACCTCGAGCAAAGCTCCGCCGCACGGCCCAAGCAAACATGGCGAGCAACTGAGCTTCTTGTCTCCGTGTAAAACACACGAAAGCACACTTCAATATGATTGGGCAGAAAAACTTAAAGATTTTCTGGCACCAATCAGATGCCAGAACGACTGCGATCGCTTGGAACTAGTCTTGTAAGACAATGTCCCCAGGGGCTCTTCCGCCGTAACTTGAAATCGACTCACATGCAGCCCCTGGGTCTCCGAGGATGGTCCGCTCGTGATAAAACAACTATACATGATTGCGAGCTTGAGAACGTCTGTAGATATTCATTCACAACTACAATCAATTACGGTCAAATCGTCGCGGCCTCAGTTGACCTGCTTAGCAGGTGTCGTTACCTCCGATCGAAAACTTAAACATCATCGCCTGTAACTCCCGTGAGGCTTAGCGCTCACACTGTGCATGGTAAGTAAAAATGGGACATCCGTTCCGTGTTTTAGGATTTGGCGCCATTTTCCGCCGCTCCATGTTTTAGGAGTTGGGACATTTTCCACCAATCTACCGTTCCATCGTTCCACGTTCCTGCGTGGCCGGGCTAGTTTCCAGGTTACGACGAAGGACAGCGTGTTTGCGATGAAACTTTGAATGTTTGAATTGAAGGATTGCGTATTGGAAATGACGAGTATCGTGTTCGCATTGAATAATTGAATGTTTGGAATATGGAATAAAACAATTATTCCATTCAGGCTGGTCAAATATGGGATTATTACTAGCAAATCGGTTAAATCAATGATAACCTCTGACCAACTCTTGAAATGACCTCATCTGCATTACTGGTTTAATATGATATACGCAAGCAAATGGATTGAGAACCAAGGCTTCAAAAAAACCGTTTACACTTGCATTGCCTAACAACAGGCATATAGCACGAGTAATTCATTTTGATGACAGGCATTTTATCGTCTAAAGCTCTCCACTGTTTGTCCATTTTCCCTGACTCTATAGCGTTTCTATACGTCTCCTGTTACTAATAGGACGCCTGCAACAGGAAACACCTTTGTTCAGATAGCCCAGAGTTGCAAGAGAAGTGTTGCTGCAACGTTAGGATAATCTCCCAAAACAGGCCTATCGTTAAGAATGTTGAGGATTGTATGATTATTTAAAGTTAAGAGCTGAGGAAGGCGAAAAGTATGCTAAGATATCTCGCTAACGCCCATAACTGCGCACGAAAAAAAAATACTTCTTAAAACTCCATCTGTGTTCTAGAAAAGCAACCGACTACACGTTTGAAAGATAAACACAGTTTAATAATAGGATTCACATTTCATCAGTTTCAGAATAATTATTATTGCCACTTGGATGACCTTGTTTTATTCTTTTGAATATTTTTTGGACTCCATTCATCTAAAGGAAACCGACAAATACATTGAACATGGTTTGAAGTCAGATGATGTGGAGGAGTTTTACATATTTCTTTTTTAAATCGCTACTTAAAGATGTTCGGATTAGATGTTTGTTTCTACTTTAAGAATAAAAACAAACTTGGCATTGCTTGTTGATTTTTTTTTTTTTTTTGTTATTTAGTTTTCCTCTCAATCAACAAAAAAAGTTTCGGCTTTATCATTTGTTTAGTGCTAACTTAAGAAAGCAGTCTGTGATAATGTTTTTCTATAATTTCAGGATTGGTCGTTGACTTTTTTTGCGAATCATTTGTTTTCGGCATTTTTTTGTTATTTTGTTTTTTTTTAGCCGGTCATTAAGTGGCGTGAGGCTGAAAATTGATCATGATTGGTGGAGCATCCTGTCCAGGTGTTTCCACTCTTAGTTCCTTCTTCGTCGTCTTTTCCGTTTGTAGGGTTTGACCTGTGCCCGTATTTCAGCCTGTGGCAAAAAAATGGCAATTAAATATTCTCCTCATACTCATACTCGAGTTACATATCTGATTTGTGGTTTTTCCCTCCTTTCCTGATCTCCCATCAGTGTAGTCACGCAGTTATCATTCCAGACATAGTCAAGGACTCCATATTTTTCTTTTAGTGATATTTAAGGTATCCCTACTGCCCATTCCAATAATACTCAATTCACAAACTGTATATCTTGTATGGGGCCGCCTGAATCAAATTTGGTTTAACCTCGAGAAATACATCAGGAGAAAATGAATCATCGTCCCAAACCCTTCTGGCTCTGTAACGTTTCACTTAAGAGGTAAACGTTACAGAGCCAGAAGAGCTGAGGAAAGGCTCAATAACAACCTGAAGCCAAAGATGTCCGTTTCATTGACCTCAGAAATTAACATTTCATCAAGGAATATGCAAGTGATCACTACTCAGTGGCAGATCCAGATCTTGAGCTCAGGGAAGGGGGGAGGTGGTTTTTGTGCGCGTGCTTACACCTGCCCGCTGTTCTTCCTTTTGCGCTTTTTTCCCCAAAAAAAAGGGGGGCCCGCGTCCCCTAGGCCCCTCCCCTATATCTGCCACTGCTGTTGTGGTTCAAGGAAAAGTTAACTGATGTAATTGTTTATCTGACATGTCCTTTTTAATTTAAAATACAGAAAATAGATCGCACTGTTCACAAAATACAATAAATAGGGATATGGTTATACCTCCAGTAAGATGGCGCACTATATCTATGTCACTCAAAAGGTGTTAAAGAGATGCTCCATGAATTTCCTTACTTTTCTAATTTTCGCTACTAAACCAGATGAAATAGACACTAAAGGACTTGCTAGTTGGATGCCAGTAAAGATACCTGATGGCTTTGCTAACCTGGGGTTCGATGGTTAAATTTTCTGGGGCCATCAGGGCTGCTCGATGTTCCAGGATCCCGGCACCAAGGAGTGCGTGATAAGCATTTCTGATGCACAAATGAGCATACTCCAGAGCTTCTGGATTTGTGGCATTTTCTCCTTTAACTCTCGCGAAATTTTCAAGAGAATCCAGCTCTAAGCATGGATAAAAAAATACGTTAGAAATTTCCAAAGCTATAAGATTTAATATCTACACAGATGTTCCCGAAACATCTGGGGTGGACGTGAAATTGTTGACGTCACTTCAAGAAGTCAAAAACTACGAACCAATCCTGGATACCTAAGTCAAAGATAGACGTAAAACTAAACTACTTCCGTTGAGGTAAGTTAAAAGCTTCTTCTTTCTCACCTTCAGCTTGTGGAAATTTGTCATTTGTCCCCGCGACTAAACATCGAGATTTTCGCAATGGCTCGTCACACTCTTTCTCAGATGTATCCAAACTTTCTGGATCCCTGCGCTTTCGTTTCCTGGTCTTCCCTATCAGTTGAAATACAGATTCAACCACCTGTACCTAGTCTCATTATTTTAGTATCACAAAAGAGTTAAGAGAAGTCAAAAGCCTCTACAACCTAACCTTCAGCTTCTGGGGATATCCCCTTGTCTGTTAAAGTCCATGAGTCAGTCGGTTCACCGGGTGGATGCATATGCTCAATCGTCACCTTTGCTGTGGATGAATCCGTTTTCTCAACAGCCAACCATGGGACTTTTGGCAACGGCTCATCAGTTTGGTGTAAATTTGTCTCCATGATTAAACATTGGGATTTTTGTAATGGCTCGTC